CTCTGAGAGCCACTGCCCACAAAAGAGGGCAAGTGTCCTAGGTCGTGGAAGCAAGAGGATCTCCTGGCCCGAGGCTGGAAAGGAGGCTGTGGTAGCAGACAGGCTTATTTCCAAAGAGAACGGGGCTCAAACCCCGGGGATTGCGAACCCTGCCTGCTTTTCTAATCAATATCCTGACTGGAGAGAGGCTTTTTTGCTTTGGCTGAGGAGGGACAGTAGTTAATTAGTGCATGTATACATACTTATATATTTTATACATTTTTTTTTACGTTATACATATTTAATTTTTAAGCTTGGGACCTTACTGTCTAATCACTTCATGCTCCGTATTGCATGATCTAACTTGGTTTAGCAGAATTTGCCAAAGGCCATCAAACCGACGAGTTTCAACAGTCAAAAAAAAAATTATTCGGAGGATATATCCTGTTCAGCAGGGGGAAAGAAAAGTTTCACGAATGGTTTGAAACTTTTTATAGCTGTCTGATAGCTTTTCCCCAGAGCAAAAGTGCCTCGGTCGTTATTTTTTTTTTTTTTAAGATTTTATTTATTAATTTGAGAGAGAGCTTGAGTGGTGGATTGGGCCAGCGGGAGAGGGAGAAGCAGACTCCCAGCTGAGCTGAGCAAGGAGCCCCTCAAGGGGCTCGACCTCCAGACCCTGGGATCGTGAGCTGAGCCAAGGGACAGACGGTTAACCTACTGAGCCACCCAGGCGCCCCTAGTCACTTGTTATTTTTAACAAACTTTTTTTTTTTTTTTAAAGATTTTATTTATTTATTTGACAGAGATCACAAGTAGGCAGAGAGGCAGGCAGAGAGAGAGAGGAGGAAGCAGGCTCCCCGCCGAGCAGAGAGCCCGATGCGGGGCTCGATCCCAGGACTCTGGGATCATGACCTGAGCCGAAGGCAGAGGCTTTAACCCACTGAGCCACCCAGGCGCCCCTATTTTTAACAAACTTTGAGCCCTAGGTGGGGCATGCCTGATACTTTCATTTGGAGCCTATCATCCAAAGCTTGAGCTAGGTGTCCTAATTTAGGTGTAGAATTTGGTGTTAATTGAAACTTGATGTGAGTCAGAATTTCTGAGCGTCTGATTTTGTATTACACCGGTCATCATTGACAATGCCAAGGGTGGCGTGGAGGGATTTGGCCTCCACTCCTAATCTCCCACCCCCAACAATTCAAAACTGATCTGGAAAGAAAACATGCACAGCAGCAATTCTTACAGTGGCTTCAAGGACAGCTTCAGAGACAGCTTTGAGAAAAGCCCCTGGTCCTCCCCTTCCCTCTCTCCACTGTCCCCAAGCTGATTTTTTTCTGCAATTGTTCATTCCAATCAGATCAGCCTTCCTGAACTGCTCTTTTAGAAACAAAGGCTCTTTTTTTTTTTTCTTTTTCTAGTTTCTTTTTATAATAATTTTGTAAAACCAGTAAACAACTAGAAAAGCTTTAAAAAAAATCAAAGTTAAAAAAAAAATCAGGGGCGCCTGGGTGACTCAGGGAGTTAAAGCCTCTGCCTTCGGCTCAGGTCATGATCTCAGGGTCCTGGGATCGAGCCCCGCATCGGGCTCTCTGCTCAGCAGAGAGCCTGCTTCCTCCTCTCTCTGCCTGCCTCTCTGCATACTCGCGATCTCTGTCAAATAAATAAAAAGCAAAATCTTTAAAAAAAAAATTAAAGAAAAATCAAAGTAGAGGCTTCTGGGTGGCTCAGTTAAGTCTCCCACTCTTGATCTTGGCTCAGGTCTTGATATCAAGGTTGTGAGCTCAAGCCACCCCCACCCCCGGCCCCCTGGGCGTGGAGCCTACCTAAAGAGAGGGAAAAAATCAAAAGTAAAAAGTTAATGCTCATCAGCCCTTCCCCAGCCTATCCAACTCCCCAGAAATAACACTTTTTTTTTTTTTTAAGATTTTATTTATTTATTTGACAGACAGCAAGAGAGGGAACACAGGTAGGGGGAGCTGAGCAGGGAGCCCGCTGTGGGGCTCCATCCCAGGACCCCGGGATCATGACCTGTGCCAAAGGCAGAAACTTAATGACTGAGCCACCCAGGCACCCCCAGATATAACACTTTTCTGTTGCTTTCTGTTACTTGCTGTGCAGCATAGAGGAGAAGGGCGTGGCTTCGGGTGTCAGGCTCCAATAGGCCTCCAACTGGGCTCTGCCTCCTGCTGGCCTGGTGGACTCACCAGCACCGTGGCCTCCAGTAAGTTCCTTCCCTCCCTCCGCCTCTGGTTTCCTCATCCAGGAGCCAGGGATATTCATGATCTGTGCCTCATAGAGTTGTGTTAGAGGATTGCATGGGTTAAGATTTATAAAGCACTTAGAACAGCGCCTGTGCATGTCATATATACTTATTAAATACATCCATGTCCAGACTTTTCTCCAAGGGCATAGAATTATTTACACATACATTTGTTGGTGTTTCTTTTGTTTTTATAAAAACAGGATCTTCTGGGGCGCCTGGGTGGCTCAGGTTAAAGCCTCTGCCTTCAGCTCAGGTCATGATCCCAGGGAACTGGGATCGAGCCCCGCATCAGACTCTCTGCTCAGTGGGGAGCCTGCTTCTACCCTTCTCTCTCTGCCTGTCAAATAAATAAATAAAATCTTAAAAAAAAAAACAAAACCCAAACCACAGCATCTCTTATACACTCTTCTGCACATTGGTTTTTTTTTTTTTACTTCCAAAGATGGGTTGGGCATTTTAATCCCCTTGGTATATAAAAATGTAGCCCATGTTTTTTTCTTTTTAAGCTTATTTATTTATTTATTTGACAGACAGAGATCACACAGAGGCAGGCAGAGAGAGAGGAAGGGAAGCAGGCTCTGTGCTGAGCAGAGAACCCCATGCGGGGCTCGATCCCAGGACCCTGGGACCATGACCTGAGCCCAAGGCAGAGGTTTTAACCCACTGAGCCACTCACGTGCCCCATAGCCCATGTTTTTATGTGATTGTGCGATGTTACGTTACGTGGGTGCACCAGATATGTTTGACAGGTCCTCCACTGACAGACACGCAGCTGGCGTCTGGTCTTTGCCGTTACAGACAGCGCTGCCCGAACCTTGCTACCTCCACCCTTGCCTGCATGTATATTCCTGGAGGTGGTGTTCCTGGAATATTCCTGGAAGTGAGGTCGCTGTGGCCAAGGGCATGCGCACTTGACTTTTTTGGATACATGCTTCTAAATTACCCTCCAGAAAGGTTTTCTAGTTTGTATTCCTCCTGGGAGTGTAAGGTTGGACCTATGAAATAATGGTCAGACAGCTTTTACTGCTTAGAACCTTTAATGGTGCTTCTAGGGTTTTCACATTGAAGTCTTTAGTCTGACCTTCAAAACCCACTGTAACATGACCGAATCTGTCTTTGTAGCTTCTCACCCCCCCCCACCCAAGTAGGCTCCATGCCCATTGTGGGGCTTGAACTCATGACTCTGAACTCAAGAGTCTCATGCTCTACCAACTGAGCCAGTCAGGCACCCCTATTTTTGTTGTTTTAACTGCTTTTAATTTTATAGACCCTCTGCTTCAGTCAGACCAGGTTTTTAAAAATTTTGATTTTTTTATTTGACAGAGACACAGCGAGAGAGGGAACACAAGCAGGGGAAGTGAGAGAGGGAGAAGCAGACTCCCCACTGAGCAGAGAGCCCGATGTGGGACTTGATCCCAGGACCCTGGGATCATGACCTGAGCCAAAAGCAGATGCTTAACAACTGAGCCACCCAGGTGCCCCAGACCAGTGGTTTTTAATCAGGGTGATTTTTTTTTTTTTTTAAAGATTTTATTTATTTATTTGACAGACAGAGATCACAAGTACGCAGAGAAAGAGAGGAGGAAGCAGGCTCCCTGCGGAGCAGAGCCCGATGTGGGGCTCGATCCCAAGACCCCGGGATCATGATCTGAGCCGAAGGCAGAGGCTTTAACCCACTGAGCCACCCAGGCATCCCAATCAGGGTGATTTTTGACCACCTCCTTCCCCCACCAGGACATTTGGCAGTCTGGAAATATTTTTTGGTTGTCACAACTGGGAGAGGGCGAGAGGCCAGGGCCATTGCTCCATGTCCTGCAGTGCACAGACGGTCCCCCATGACAAAGGGCTAACTGGTCCACATGTCAGTAGTACTGAGTTAAGCTGTTGACTGATCTCTGAAATTACCTGCTCCTAGCGCGAGGATGTACAACAGATTTCATGTGACGTGACACCTTCATTGTATCCATGTGGGTAGCTAAAGGGCTATTTTGAGATTGTAAAGGCTTGCCAGGGCTCAGTGGGGGAAATTGCTTCATCCGCTGTTTATCAGATCACAAAGACATGACGGCAGAATGGTATCTGCTCCTTTTGTCTCTTTCCCAAGGGGACTCATGCATAGGTTTTTAGACAAGAGTTGGTTATCAAATGTTTTAATGTTGCCTGAATTGCAGTCATCTTAAAAGTTAGCTAGACATTCTCCATAGGAACCAGCTCCTCCGTCCGGCCCCCTCACTTACGTGCTATTTGTCTCTAAGCTAGACATTTCTATTTTCTGGTAGTTATTTCATTTCTTAAAGAGCTTTGCTATTCTAAGGGGCGATGGCCTGATACTGCATTGTCTTGAAAAATGATTGTTGAACAAATAAGATCATATCGCTTTTTCATTTGAGAAGATTAACATGATTGGCCATTTTAGAGGTTGACCATCTTGTTCTGGAGGCGGCCACACAGTAAGTAGCTCAGGTTCTACTGGCCGCGTGCCGTTTCAGCTCTGCTCCTGTTGCTTGAAAGCAGCCAAAGGCAAGACCTAACTGAATGTCATGGCCATTTTCCAGGAAGAGTTTATGCCCAAAACTGCAGGCGGCCTGTGAGTCGCAATTTGCTGATCCTTCTAGAACCATCACTCTTTGGATATTTGATTGATGAGCCTACACTGTGGCTGGGCGGCTTTGAAAATGGAATAAGCGGGTACAGTGAGTAGCCCCCGGTAATCCATGTACTAGGAAATGACTTGTGACCTCTCTGCTTTTCTTTGCAGAGATGTGGTATGGTGTGTTCCTGTGGGCACTGGTGTCCTCTCTCTTCTTCCATGTCCCTGCTGGATTACTGGCCCTCTTCACCCTCAGACATCACAAATATGGTAGGTTCATGTCTGTAAGCATCCTGTTGATGGGCATCGTGGGACCAATTACTGCTGGAATCTTGACAAGTATGTTAGACGTTCAAATACCAGTCAAAACGTTTCATATGACTAGTCACTTAATTTTAGGACCCACTTGGGAAACGTGTCTGAGTGAATTAAAGAGAAAAATAGAGTGGCTTTTAACCATGGGCCTCTTTTTTGGTGTACTGTTTTTTTCTGAACTCTAACACCTTCCCTCCCCCCGTCCCCCATTATTTGGCTAACATCTTTGACTTCCTATGTTGTGTTTTCTCCTGTCTTTCAGATAAGCCAGGTGAGGTTTTATGAGATAGGCCACCATCGAGAGAAGCTGTTTATCTTTTCGGAAGCAACTGCTTCTTTCTCGTCAGCAACACTGATGAGTTACTGCTACTCACTCGGGGGTGGTTTCTTTAAGGATGGAAGGCTAATTCTGATGACAAGAATTCTTGTTTAGAGAAGTACCTGATTTGTCTTCTGGTTATTTTTTCCCCTTTTCAGATTTTTTTTTTTTTAAGATTTTATTTTATTTGTCAGAGTGAGAAAGAGTGAAGTACAAGCAGGGTGAGCGGCAGGCAGAGAAGCAGGCTTCTCGCTGAGCCAGGAGCCTGATGCGGGACTCGATCTCAGGGTCCTGGGATCATGACCTGAACGGAAGGCAGATGCTTAATGGACTGAGCCACCCAGGAGTCCCCTCTCACAACTTTCTGAATAAGAATTGGAATAACAGGGGCGCCTGGGTGGCTCAGTGGGTTAAGCCGCTGCCTTCGGCTCAGGTCATGATCCCAGGTCCTGGGTTCGAGCCCCGCGTCGGGCTTTCTGCTCAGCAGGGAGCCTGCTTCCTCCTCTCTCTCTGCCTGCCTCTCTGCTTACTTGTGATTTCTCTCTGTCAAATAAATAAATAAAATCTTTAAAATAAAAAAAAAGAATTGGAATAACAAATTATAAATTATTTTTACTTTTTTTTCATTGTTTGGCTTTTGGTCATGTCACAAAGATGAGAATACATTTAAATCATTTTTAAGCGCACGATTAAGTATAAATATCATCTCTGTTTTATATAAATTAAAAATTATAAGAAAGCAAAAACTAAAAACCCTCCATTATCACATCCCTAAGTGAAAAACCGCAATTTGCAATTTGGTATGTGCTTTCAGGCTTTGTTCCTAGGTATACGGGTCAACATAAATACATGCTTTTAAAAATTAGAAACATCGGGGGGCGCCTGAGTGGCTCAGTGGGTTAAAGCCTCTGCCTTCAGCTCAGGTCATGATCCTAGGGTCCTGAGATAGAGCCCCGCATCGGGCTCTCTGCTCCACGGGGAGCCTGCTTCCTTCTCTCTCTGCCATCCTCTCTGCCTACTTGTGATCTCTGTCTGTCAAATAAATAAATAAAATCTTTAAAAAAAAAAAAAATTAGAAATGTGGGGCGCCTCGGTGGCTCAGTGAGTTAAGCCTTTGACTCAGGTCATGATCTCAGGGCCCTGTATTGGGCTCTCTGCTCAGCGGGGAGTCTGCTTTCCCCCTCTCTCTCTGCCTACTTGTGATCTCTCTCTCTCTCTGTCAAATAAATAAATAAATAAAATCTTAAAAAAAATGTTTAAAAAAAATTAGAAATGTAACATTCCTACTAATTTGTAACGTGTGTGAGTGCATGCATCTGTGAATTTAAGCCTTGAGCTCTAAACAGAACTGTCCCTCTTTCTTTGACTTGAGTTTTTTGGGGGGACAAAGTGGCCTCATTTCTGTGTGTTCTGTAGGTTATGAAACGTTTGTGGTAACAATAGGAGGAGGCCAGTTTTCTCCCGTCTGCATTAAGATGTTTCCGTAACTGGCTTTACGTAGTATTTTTAACTGTATCACCTACTGCTGCTCTTCAGAGACCTTCTGCCCTAGTTTCCTTATTGGATTCCTGGCTCCGAGGACCTGTCTCAGATTTCTCCTCAGTAAAATAAGGATAAGGCCACCCACCTCAGAGGCTGTGTGACAATAAAATGAAATGTTTATTGAAGAACTTAACATAATACCTCACACTTGGGAACTGTGCAATGAGTGAGTCCATTCGATTTTTAAGACTCCAGTGTGAATAGAGCCTGTTTCCCATTTTGTAGCTCTGCCTGGTCTGCGTTTCCCTTTCTTCCCTACCTCATCATCCAAACCCGACTTTAGGGCCCATTTCAACTTTCTTATGCTTCTCTCTACCCAATGCACCATTTTGGGAGCTGAGTTACAAAGGGGCCCAATGTAACAGGTGCCTCGAGGATGTTAGTGACACAGTCTGTATGCCTAGCCTCTGCAGACGGGCATTTCGGAGTCACAGATACTTCTGACAGCCAATATGGAAAACGGTTCATTTGCTCTTTTCTTCTTCTTTTTATTTATTTATTTATTTACAGAGAGAGAAATCACAAGTAGGCAGAGAGACAGGCAGAGAGAGAGGGAAAGCTGGCTCCCTGCTAAGCAGAGAGCCCGATGCGGGGCTGGATCCTAGGACCCTGAGATCATGACCCGAACCAAAGGCAGAGGTTTAACCCACGGAGCTACCCAGGCGCACCTCTCTCTTCTTAAAATATGTTAACATGCTCTCATATCCCATGTGTAAAATGTGTAGACATTTGATTGAGATGTTGTATACTGTCTTGCATTATTCAAAATCTGCTTCATGCTTATGCTTTCTTTCTGTGTCTCAGCTTGATTCTGAGCATTAATGAGAACAGGGATCATACCTTATTAGACATAGAGATAAACAAATAGTTTGCATGAATGAACACACTGACCAAAGAGGATTCTCTTTGGAACAGTTTTTAAGAGGAGGGTCATCTGGGAACTTTGGCTCTTTTCTTGTTCAACTAATGAAATCTTGGCTTTCTTGGTGTAATGCTGAGTCCCTGTAGCTATAAGAGGGGTTTCTAGGGAGATTAAGATGTTTGTGTTTGGGGCGCCTGGGTGGCTCAGTGGGTTAAGCCTCTGCCTTCGGCTCAGGTCATGATCCTGGTGTCCTGGGATGGAGCCCCACATTGGGCTCTCTGCTCAGCGGGGAGCCTGCTTCCTCCTCTCTCTCTCTGCCTGCCTTTCTGCCTACTATGATCTCTCTGTCTGTCAAATAAATAAATAAAATCTTTAAAAAAAAAAAGAAGAAAGAAAGATGTTTGTGTTTGGTTTACTCAGTTTCTAGGAAGTTGTGGTGACTAATATAATAAAAGCAATTAATGATCATGGGGAACAGAAAGGATCCTCTTAGGATCTTATCCCCTCATGCCCTTTGAATTAATAACAATTTTTTTTTTAAGATTTTATTTATTTATTTGACAGAGACAGAGATCACAAGTAGGCAGAGAGGCAGAGAGTCGGGGGGAAGCAGGTTCCCCCTGAGCAGAGAGCCCGATGCAGCACTCAATCCCAGGACCCTGAGATCATGACCTGAGCCGAAGGCAGAGGCTTAACCTTTTGAGCCACCCAGGCACCCCGAATTAATAACAGTTCTTAAGCGTAGAGTCATCCTCTCCTCTTTCCCTCCTCTGCTCTCTCCTCTATCCACTTTGGGAGAGGAGCTCTGAGTACAGTAGAAGGTGGAGTCCCTACTCCCTGTGGCTTCTGAAATATTTCTTGCTTAGTCTCACACAGAAGTTTTGTTGGCATTTATTGCCAAGATTTTTTTAGGTACCTGTTAAATGTTAAGCATGGCAAATAAGAGAAGTTTTTGAGTGTGTAATTAGGTCATGTGGAAATTGCTATATCTTCATGATTTTGGTTATGACTTCCAGATTATTTTATTCAGTAAATCTAGGAGACTCAGTTTTAAGGACACACTTTTCAACATCTGAAAGCACTAACCAGTGATTTGTAAGTTGTATGGGGAATACTTAAAACCTAGAGTAGGCAGCAAAAAGGTATAGGGAAAACAGAACATTTCTATAACATTTAAATTTTAATGTAAAAAATCTAGAACATTCTACATACGTTAGGATTTTAAATGCTGCATTTTCCTGATTATATTAACCTTAATTTTTTTTTTTTTAAACACTGTTTTTTTTAACAGGTGCTGCAATTGCTGGAGTGTACCGAGCAGCAGGAAAGGAAATGATACCATTTGAAGCCCTCACCTTGGGCACTGGGCAGACATTTTGTGTAGTGGTGGTCTCCTTCTTACGGATTTTAGCTACTCTGTAGCATATACCCTTAGGCCATGATGCTGAACCTAAGTTTGAGAGCCTCCTCACAGAAAGAATACATTATGGAATGTAGTGTTTTCTTAATTCTTCAAGTGGAGGGAACTTGGATGAAGAAGTATGTGAAAAATGAAATATCTCAGCCCTTTCTTCAGTTGGAAGTTCCAGGAATTGAAGATCTTTCTGGACTCCCTATTGTTCTCAACCAAAACAAATTAAGTTTCTAAGGGCCCCCCCCCTTTTTTTTTAATTAATTGAAGCAGTTTCACAGGTGCACCTTTACCCACCTAGGTCATCAGTGCTTCTGGGCTGATCCTTCACACTGAAATGTACAATATTCTGTGAGAAAATGCAGTGTCGCCTATGTTAGAGAAACTATGAAAAATAGTTTCTCTTTCTGAGCATACTATACTAAAATCTTATCTAATCTAACTCGATTAACATCTGGCAGACTCTTTTTTTACTGCATCTTCATGACAATAAGTGCCAAGTAGAGCTTTGAGAACAAATCTGTTGACATGTAACAGGAAAAAAAAAATCCTGCAACAGAAGTAGTGGCTTCTGTTCTACTGCTGAAAGAAAAAGATGATGTGATATTTTCTGGATAACTATCTTGACCTCTGATGATTTAATAATATTTTAAGAGATGTGCATTTGTTGTTTTGTACATTTTATCAAAATAAGCTAACTAATCGAGACATTTTCCCCCCCCAGAGTTCCTGTATCCCTTTTCCCATCACTTTCATTCTGTTGATTTTGTTTAATTTAATTGGAAACATACCCTATTAAATAGTTTGAATTCAAAACTTTAAGCCAGATAGGTTAGGATGCTCTCTGGACATTGAGGTACCAAAATTTTTTTTTAAACATTCTGTTAAAGTTTTTCTTGGTGACTTTGGTTGAAATTGTAGAAATGCAGCTTAGAGGTGGTGGTTATTCATTTCTTAGTCTTAGTGTGGTCACCACTCTTAACAGTATTGGGTGTCACTCCCAGAAAGTGCCTAAAGTTTAATTTCCACTTTACGTTTCCCTTCAAGAGAATATATATCTTTCTAGAGAATTAAACATCGAGTTTTTTAAACCCAGTTTTAGCTATCTTAATTTTTCTCCTACTGCCTCACTTTCCTTTTCATTAAAAGGCCTGAAAACTGTGACCTTCAAAAGAGAAAGGATTGCAAAATTTAAGTGTCTCGCTTGATCCTTACCGCCTCAGCTGTGTTGAATGGAATATAGTCACTGATCTCTGTGTTCAGAATAGTTTCTGATCATTAAATCTGATGTTTTTAAAGGAAAGTTTTCATTGTGACAGTAAGGCTAACAGCCCATGAGGTTACGTACACACAAACATATCAATTCCATTTAAAGCAATATGCCCTCTGGCTTCTGATTAAAAATTGCCAGAGGGACCAACTTACGGGGGGACGGCAAAGAGGAAGAATTACAAAGAGATCCCAGAAATCAATTGGCCATTTTCTTTTAACTAAGAGGCCGTTAGACCACTGATCAAAATTAGAGTGACATATGCTCAGACTAGGTAGAAAGTTAAAAGTAGACTTGGAATGCCAGCAGATGTTTTTACTAATTCCCCAACAAGTTTTTCTCCAGTGTGGAAATCCTTCTTTCAAGCAAATATTAAGTCTTTTAAGATTTTTTTTTTTTAAGATTTTATTTATTTATTTGAGAGAGTGAGAGAGAGACAACACAAGCAGGGGGAGACAGTGGGAAGAGCAGACTCCCTATTGAGCAGGGAGCCCAATGACGACATGGGACTCTATCCCAGGACCCTGAGATCAGAATCTGAGCCGAAGGCAGACATTTAACCAACTGAGCCATTCAAGTGCCCCAAGATTTTAAGTTCTCTCTGTTCCCAACATGGGGCTCAAACTCACGACCCCAAGATGCGGTGTCACAGGCTCCCCTGGCTGAGCCAGCCGGGTGCCCTTAAGTCTTTAAATGAGACTCCACATTTTTCAGTTCAAGGAGCTGTGATTTTGCAAAGTAGCCCTTCTGTTTAAGAAATTCAGGACATTTTGGGACGCCTGGGTGGCTCAGTTGGTTAAGCGGCTGCCTTTGGCTCGGGTCATGATCCCAGCGTCCTGGGATCGAGTCCCACATCGGGCTCCTTGCTCATCGGGGAGCCTGCTTCTCCCTCTGCCTCTGCCTGCCATTCTGTCTGCCTGTGCTTGCTCTCTCTCCCTCTCTCTCTCTCTGACAAATAAATAAATAAAATCTTAAAAAAAAAAAAAGAAATTCAGGACATTTTATCCTTTGTTACAGAAAATCATTTTTAATCATTTCTCTTGGAATATGCCTCTTATTAAGATTCACATCTAGAACATGCTTTTGGATAGAATTTTACAAATGGAACATATGGGCCAATGGTTTTTAGGCCCCTCCCCCTGAACACTAATTTTTGAACATATTGATCGATGATTTCAGTATTTGGTTATTAGAGCCAAGACACAGATATTTTTATTTACTTGACAGAAGATAGAGAGCATAAGTAGACAGAGTGGCAAGGAGAGGGAAAGCAGGCTCTCTCCTGAGCAGGGAGCCTGATGTGGGGCTTGATCCCAGGACCCCGGGATAACGACCTAAGCCGAAGGCAGGCTTAACTGACTGAGCTACCCAGGTGCCTCTAATGCGTTTTGAAAGGTGTTTTTGTTTCCATCTGTTTTCTTTGCTATATTTTGATTACCCACGCTTTTTAAAAACTTTAAATATAAGATGTATCTTTAAATTATTGAATATTTCATCCATCCCAGTATGTGAACATTCTCCTGTGAATAAATTTATATAAGCCTTTGTATACATGGAGCTTTGTAGCTTGAAATGTTTTTAAGGAGAAACTATTTGAATGATAAACAATATGTCTAGTTCCCACTGGGTTTTTTCTTTTTTTTTTGCTTTTTAAAAGTTTTTCAAATACACAATTATTTGGGGGCAGTCACTCGGAAAAATATTCGCATATGTGTTGAACATTTTATTTTACTATATATGGTTTTTAAAAATTTTTGCCAACAACTGGCTTTTTTAGGGCCTATGCAACCCATACTTTCCTAGCTAGACATTCACCCCCCCCCCACTGTTTTTTTTTAATGCAGGGGAGGCAGCTCCCAACCATAAAAGCTTCATTCTTTAATGTGGGGGTTTGGGGATGAAGGCATTCATGAAGACAAGTCCATATACAAATGTATAATGAATATTCCAAGAGAAGGATGTCTCTTTGTTCTTTTTTTTTTTTTTTTTTAAGACTTTATTTGACAGAGACACAGTGAGAGGGAACACAAGCAGGGGGAATGGGAGAGGGAGAAATAGGCTTCCCGCATAGCAGGGAGCCCAATGTGGGGTTCCATCCCAGGAGCCTGGGATCGTGACCTGAGCCAAAGGCAAACGCTTAACTACTCAGCCACCCAGGTGCCGTTCTTTGTGCCCTTAACTCATTTTTTAATTTTGCACAAAACATTACTTTTAGGAAATGTTTAAATCAGTGAGAAAAAGTTGATGCAAATAATTAAACCACTCCTATGTTTTTGAAATTTTAAATTGTATGTGTCCTTTCTGACAGCTCTGGTTTAAATTAAGCTCTTGTTACAACTGCAGTGCATACCAACCTTTCCTAAGACACCATTTCCTGGAATGTGAAGCCCTCGTACCATTAGCTAGCCACACGCAGTAAGTTTTGTGTACGTGCATTTCTTTTTTGTGCACTCTGTTAGGCTGGTTGTGACTAAAATCAGCTTAACTTTTGTATTAGATTATTTCACTAACTGCTATAGTCAAAATGATCAAATCTTTGTACAACAGAAAATTATTTAAATTTTATTTTTCTACTGACATTTCTAATTCTAGTATAAATGTTTATCAATAAAGAACTTAAATTCTGTGAACTGGAATTGTTCTTTTTTCAGTGACCAATGAATTTAATCTTTTGCAATAAAGTTGTCTGACTTAGATTTTTGGGTTTTTAAATAGTTTACTACTTAATATATGTTTACCTGTATTTCTTTTACGTTCAACTTCTTAGTAATTTATGGTAAAATTCTTGTTCTAAGATGTGATTAAACTGTATGCACATGGGAACTTGAGTCCTGTTAACTGTACTTTGCGGGCTGTATCTTGCCATCAAGAAGCTTTTTGTCTGATTCCACACTGGGATGGCTGAGAGTTGATAAAGTGTATGAAAAAAAATTATTTCAACAGTAGGTTCACATGAAGAGCAGCTACAGTGTCAGTTGAGCACTCTCACTGACATCACAGAAGTCTTTTTCTGCTCTGCCATTTTCAGCAAATTGTCCAGTTTGGGTGTCTGACATCATGGGCACAAGACACATGACCCATACAGTTCCAGGAGTCATAGACAGACATACAATGTCTGGCAGGACACCGCCCATCCATTCTTTCAATTATTTTTTATTGAAGTATAATATATATTAAAGTGCACACATCCTAAATGTATAGCTTGATGACTTTTTACATATTCATACATTTATGTGAATACTACTCACAACAAGGAAAAGAACAATTTCAAGGACTCCAGGAGAACCCTACGTGCAGAGTGGGGCCAGAAGTCCCCAAGATTGTATGTATCCAGGACCCAAGGCAAGAGGAACTTTTCCTCAATTTTCAAAAGGTGATAACCCCAGATTGGACAACGGAAAGAGACTGTGTAAGATGAGGGGCTAAAAGTGCTGAGTATGGTAGAGTGGGCCCCATAAACTATTGCTAAGACAACAGTAATAATGAACCCGGAATCTTCTAGGGAGTTAGGGAATTTGTACTCTGGCCAACTGGAGAGCCCTGTCTACAGGGGCCAAGCACTGCTTAGTTCCAGCCTATTTCTACTTGGTGGGATTTTTGAGCCAGATCTTCAGTTTTTCAAGGGAAGTTGGAAATCTAGATTATTTGGTTTGTTTTTTTTTCTCAAGATTTTATTTACTTGACAGAGATCACAAGTAGGCAGAGAGGTAGGCAGAGAGAGAGGGAGAAGCAGGCTCCCCACTGAGCAGGGAGCCCGATGCAGGGCTCTATCCCAGGACCCTGGGATCATGACCTGAGCCGAAGGCAGACACTTAACTGAGCCACCCAGGTGACCCTGGAAATCCAGATTATTTGAAATACACATCTTTAAGCTCTTGCAACTAATTTGAATCCACATAAAATGCTATTTGTGTCAAACAACCCATGCCTTTGAGCTGGAGTTGGCCTCTTCATTAAACTATTTGAGACAATGGTAAACAGCTCATACCCTGGTTATCCTTCAAGTGGTTAGAAACTTAGTGAATTTGAACAAATGTATGGCATGCTAGTGAGCTATAAAAAGGAGACTGGGAGAAATGAGATGATGCTGGAGGAGAGAGTTGGCTAGAGAACCTCAATGCATCATTTCCCCCAGACTTGGACCCCGGTGATGGGGCAAAAGGCTACACCATAGTTTGTCACTGCAGGTTCCACTTATCCTGTCCAAGGGAAAAGGCTGAGCATGTTAAACGTCCAAATATTGGGTCCTAATCTCACATCTATTTTTCTGTTCTCTTCCCATAGGAAGATCTGAAATGAATCATAGACCTACATCACAAATGAAAACCATAAAACTTAAAATAGGAATTGAATTTTGTGATCTTGAGTCAGTCAAGGGCTTAGAAGCCCAAAAGCACCAGGGACGAGAAAAATAGAGAAATGGGACTTCATCAAAATGAGAACATTCTATGCTTCAAAGGATGCCATCAAGAGGGCGATGGCACACAACAGGAGGAAGTATTTTCAAGGCCTATGTTTCTGAGACTGGTACTCAGAATACATAAAGAACTCTTACGACTCAACCATAAAAAGACAACATGATTTTAATATGGGAGAAGGATCTGGATAGACATTCTCCAAAGAGCATAAACCATGGCCAAAAAAGACGTGAAAAGATGCTTAACATCATTATTGAACAGGGAAGTGCAAATCTAAAACCCCATGAAATGCTGTTTCCCATCCACTAGGATGGCTTTAATCAAAGAGACAAGAGTATTGGCAAGATGCGCAGAAACTGAAACCCTCATACATATAACTTAAAAATTTTTAGTCTGGTAAAACTATAAAGATTGTACGTGGCTGTATCTCCATATGGATTCACTTGAAGGATTCATGTGGATGATGTCTGAATTCTAGAATGCAGTCGATTCCTGTTGATAGTGGTTATGTTTCTAAGGTCATCGTGCACACTCAGCGCATACTGCACCACTACTGGGGGAAATACAGGGTTGGGTTCCTGTGAGTCTCTGCTCACAACATTTCTGTCAACTCATCAATACATGATCTTGTCTTATGTGTGTTTCTGTTCAAAGACATCTTGTTTAATACATATTTCTTACAATAGTTATGTGCAGTGTTTCTTTATAATAAAACAATATTTCAGTTACAGCACTTTTGTGGAATGTCCTCCACAATACTGGGACTGTATTAACTCTTTTCCCAGTCATATGCACACATGCCGTGATGTAGTAAACACATGGTATGACATACAATATTCACATAAACACAGAGAACTGTGACCACATACCGTATACTGCACAGTAATGCAAACAGAGTCCTGAAAAAAATCAGACATTTCATGAAAACGCTAACTAGAATCTTACTGTTGACGGAACGGCGGGATGTGTGATGGTGGCAGCACACAATGTGGT